AAAAAAAAAAAAAAAAGACACCAGTGGAACTTCTCCATATCGTTCAACCCACCCTAATCTTGTGCATTACACCCTTGTCTATACTTCCATGATAGCAATCGAACCTAGATACCTAAAAACAATCGCATTTTGGAACAAGATCCTCTAGAGTGAACACCATTATTATTTTTATTCCTACTACTAAATGAGTATCGCATGTATTTTGTGTTGGATCTACTCAAGTGAGCACGCGCATGAACACGAACATACATGTAGAACATGTCGACACATGATTTTCACGAAAGTAAGACACGACATGTTAGACACACAATAAAATTAAAATTATTTTTTACTTTTTCATTAAAAATATTACATTTTTTGTGCTCCCTTTCCCGGACTTGGTTTCATGACTTTTACAGTTTGCCCATTCCATATTTTTTTTTGATAACCGTAGATGTCAGGGCCAGCTTGTGTGCACCTCGACTAATCCCACGGAACCCTGAAGTTTACGGACGGGACTCACCTCAGTGGCCCTGAGAATTTGCCCATTCCATATAAAACTATTTTAGCCTTTAATATTGAACAAAAATTATTCAATAGGTCAACTTTAACTTTGGAATGAAAAAATACATAATAAATTAAGTTAATAAGTCAAAATATGCTTTGGAAGATGAAATAAATTATTAAAATGCGGATAAAAGCATACAATGTGTGGGTAAACAAGTGAAAATTAATTATTCAAGGCTTTTAACTTTTATAAAATAATTTTAAATGTAAGAGTTGAAATAATGTTAGGGTTTAAGTCTTCATCCCTTATCCATTGTTGGGAGCCTCTCCCACCATCCACACAAGAGCCTCTCTCTTCGAGGTTTCAGCCTACATTGTATCCTCCCTCTTACCTCTACCCATTCGCATATGGCACATTTTAGTAACAACAGAATGAAAAGTGCAAACTTTCGAAAGGGCTATGCCTGACCTTTGGAAAAAAAGAGCAAAAATAGAACTTATGCATTTTCGGTTAATCCTTTTTCTTTATTTTTTGACTTTCTGATTTTTTGTGATACAACATGGCATTTTCGACACATGTCAACCATGTGTGGAAGTGTGTCAGTGCCTAATACATTTCCAA